TATATATATAGCTTAGAATATTGCAAGAGTGTGGGAAGAGTTTAAAATGCTCTTCCTACACTCACAATATTCTAAACAATGTTTCTAAACTCTAAATGCTCTAAAAGAGCACACGTCATGATTTCAGCTCCTTGCCTCAGCTGCTCTTTGCCACCTGCAAGCACTCTTGGTCGTGCCCACTTCTTTGCTCTGCACAGAAAACAGCTGATTAGCTGCAGTAGGAAGCTTTTTCTGCAGCTGTGGGCTGCACAAATGTGCAGCAAGTGCTATATAATTTAAAATAATTTATAATTTAAAAAATTACATGCTGATCGTGCGGCTCATCCATCAATAAGCCCATTGTGTGTCATGTCCAATCTTACTTTGAAAAACCGTGGTAGAGTGAGTCCGCGATAAATGAACCACAAAGTAGCGAGGGACTACTGTACTTCCAATTCTGGACAGTGTGGTGACATGATCGACAAAATAACATCAAGCGCTATACCCTTGATAAAACTAGACACCCTTTATCATTCTTCTGTTTGTTTCGCTACCAATGCACCTTTCCATAATCACCATAAACTGGTGGACTGGCACTCCCTTCAAACCTGTTGGCTCCATCATTGGCTTTGCTTTGTCAACAAGACAATCCTGAGTAAAACACCATTTTAACAGTCATCTCTTCTTCACCTTGTCCATCATAATTACTGCACTAGATCAAGGGACTTTATCAAGTTCATCATTCTAAAAACTTCTACTATTTTTGGACATAACACCTTTCGCTTTGCTGCAGCAGACAACTGGAACACCTTAAAAACACTCAAACTCACAATTTTGACATCTCTCATAAATTTTAAGTATAAACTGCAACAGATTATAGTTGACTGCTGCTCTTGCTGATTATCCTTGGATGCACTTTGGCACAATTATTTACCCTTTTGCAAAAATACTTCTTACATTTTCTTACAAACTTCAGCATACTGTACTCATATTTATATTATTATATTTCTTATTTATATTTTATGCATAGTTCAGTACAATGTATTCATATTGAATATCTATTGTATTGTAATGTGTCCATTGCTTGCATAAATTTATTTTCAAGATCATGTTTGTAAATGAGAACTGGTTCTTAAACATTTCACTGGGTAAAATAAAAGTCAAATAAAAATAAAATAAGCCAATTTAAGCACCAGATGTTAACTGATAACAAGGTCTGTGTTTAAAATTTTGGCATAAAGTATTAAACTCAATTCAATCTGTTCACAAAACATCTTAGAAACCACCGAATGAGTTTTATACAAACATTCAGAAAATAACAGTTAGATGTACATCTACAACTAATTAACATTTGCAATTACCCAGTTCAAGCTTGCTGCAAAAGCTGATCAACATTAGCTAAGACAAATGATAAAAATTCAGTGAATTTAACGATATTGATATAAAATTTGGTGTAGTAGTATCTGAGAGTCAGTACATTCATTAAGCATAAACATTTTGTGATTATGGCATTATTTTCAAGGTTTGACCAAAGCAGCTACAACATTGTTGTATCGAAAAACAAACCTCAAAAACAGCCAGAGCATAAGGGTGTCCCAGCCTCTCTGCAGATGATAGGTGTGTCCTGCGGTGAGCTCCGTTCAGGTCCACGCTAGCTATGAGGTGCAGTTTGGAGTCCACCCAGTAAAGACGTCTGTTGGCTACATCTGAAAAGCACTCAAACACAGACACATGCACATGTGATTTTTTCACACTGACAAAATTTAAATAATCTTTGAATAAGCACTGTTGCACTTGACCAACAATCCCTTTAGATGATGATTACTTATAAAAATATCAAGATTCTCACCTTTATACAAATTCAAAATATGGCATGTAATTTTCAAAACTTCAAAGCAGAAATCACAACTTTTGTAAAAGTTCACAACTGCTTTTTTTTTTTGCCACAACTAACAAATATGGCCATTTTATATAAAACAACTCATCTGTTTTCCTCTTACCGAGTGTAATGCCATTGGGCCATTCAATATTATCTGCCACCAGCACCTGACGGTCCACTCCGTTCATTCCAGCTTTCTCTATCTTGGCTCGTGTGCCCCAGTCTGACCAGTACATAAAACTGGAAGAACAAGAACGGAATAGTTTAATAATAATAATTACAATTGTAGGGTTAGGCTTCAGTACAAATTAAATGTATTGCCTTTGCACAGTTCTGTTTATGTGTTTAATACTGATTTTGTCCCATTTACAACATTGTGAAGCATTTTTAGGAAGAGTACAACAGTAACAATAACACAGTATGTAATGGCCAAATGAGGAAAATAAACATTTATACCAGATATTCCCCATGTGATGAACCACAAAATCTTGACCCAGTGTCCTTCAACTGGTTTAGGCTAAGAATGACCAATGATAACGCCAAAGTGTGTGTTCTAAGTCCAGTCGGTTTGGTTTAATGTTTATTAAGTTTTGAGTTATTCATTAATTAGATTGGTCAACTTGTGTATCTGCAATAACATGGCTGCAGAAAAAGTGATGTAATGTGCCAACTTGTTTGTAGTATACAAGTATTTCAAATGGAAACAATGAGTGCAGCGCAGTAGCTACTTGCAACAGTTATCATATCGGTAGTAGTGAAACAATATTGAAAACCACCATTCAACATTTAGTATTCAAACACTTGACAGTGGACGAAGTTCACCAAGTTCACTATTAAAGTCTAAGCAACACATTTTAGAGATAACTCTAAAAAGAAAAGACAAGTTTCTGTGGGACAGTAAAGAGGAAAAAAGTATTAAAGAATGGATGGCTGAATTTACTGCTCTGGAGGACCAAACAATTGGTGTGGTTCTAACAGTTGTATGATTTTTGTTTTATTTGTTTCAACTTTTTCTGATTTGAGTTTTCTGTAGCTCATTGTTAACAGTATGCTTTCAGTTTGTTTCTGTATAGGTTGTTACTGTCAAATTCATTTAAATTTGTTAATTATTCTTAGTCATCTGTATTTCTGTAACTGCTATAGCTTGGCAGCTATGGGAATTTTGTTTTCCTTTACATTTTATTTTTTTTTACAATACTCCATGGCATATTTGTGGGTGGGTAAATGCCTGTGGAATGGAGGAGAAGTGTGCTGGTGTAATTTTTTTATGCTGGTGAAAATTCGGTCATTTTTTTAAGAACAAGGGTGATGTACAGAATTGTAGCAACTACAGGGGAATTAAGTTGATGAGCCACATGATGAAGAGAGTTGTGGAAGGAGGATGCAGAGGACAGAGGAGGATGACTTGCTGTGGCAACCCGTAAAGAAGGAAAAGCTGAAAGAAGAAGAAAGACTGTTTGGCATGGTTGCTGTTTTTAAGTCCTTTATAAATAAAATGGTATGGTGTGAGTGATTCCTTGTTTTCATTCATTCCTTGTCAGATCCTTGCATGTTTGCAAAATCATTCTGCATGAGCCGCATTCCTTTTGTGCTGTTGACGCTGACTCTGTGCTGGGTTGCATTTGTGTGTGTCTCAGTTAAGATCTTGTTTCAGTTCTGTTTAGTTTATTTCTGAAGTGATTCAGGTTTGAATCATCAGAGCACAATAGTTGGAGGAACACAAGCTTGAACAATTTCATAGAGTCTCTCCTTTTAGAAATAATCAGCCAGGACAGCATAAAAAACTGAGGCAGGGTGCTAAATGGGACACAAGCTCGTTACGTGAATGTTCATATACAAGTGTTCTCGACAGTCTGCTCATTATTGGCTCCACTCCCAGAAGACGGTTATATTATTAATAGAATTACTGGACTGATGCAGGTCATGAGAATGACTGAGAATCTTCGCCGGCATATTACTGGACTGAATTCACTTAACAAGTTTATATTTGAGGTCAGTATCATAATCATCTTTAATATTTTAGTACAGGGTAATAAAAAAGAGGAGAAGACATGGAAGGTAGTGTTTATAAACTGTTTCATCATTTTCATTCACTCCATCCATATACTGTACTTCATCTTTGGCCTTCCTCTTTGTCTTTTTCCTGACAACTGCAGTTCTAATTTCATTTTACAAATATACCCACTTTCCCTCATGTGGGCATGTCCAAGCCACATGAGTCTGGCCTCTAACTTTATCTCTCAGTCATTCAACCTGTTCTGTACCTCTGAAGATCATAACGCCTAATTTTATCCATACACAAATAACCAAGTCACCCATAAGGAGAACCTCAACACCTTCATTTCTGCCACTTCCAGTTCTTTCTCCTGTCTTTGTCAATGCCACTGTATCCAAATTATAAAACATAGCTGATCTCACAATTGTTTTGTATAAAATTCCTTTGACCTTTGCCGACACTTTTTGTCACAAATCACTCCTAAAACTTTTCTCCATCCTCTCCATCCTGTCTGGACTCTCTTCTTCACCTCTTTACCACACTCCCCATTTTCCTGGACAGTGGACCCTCAAGAACTTGAAGTCTTGCACCTTTGTGACCTCTGCTCCTTGTAGCCTCACTTCCACTGGCCTCCCTCCCATTCACACACATGTACTCTGTCTTACTATGGCTGACGTTCACTCCTCTTCTTTCAAGTGCATACTTCCACCTCTCCAAGTTCTCTTCCACCTGTTCCCTGTTCTCACCACAGATCACAATGTCATCTGCAAACATCATAGTCCATGGGATTCCTGTCTGACCTCATCTGCTAGTCGTTCAATCACAAAGCAAACAAGAAGGAGCTCAGAGCAGATCCTTGATGTAGTCCAACCTTGACCATGAAGATATGTCACTGCTACACCACATCTCATCACGGTCCTGCTGTCCTCATACAAGTCCTGTACCAAGTCTAACTTCTAATTTTAAGTGTATTAACTGGGATTAATGTTTGATTTTTTATGATTGTTTTGAAAATAAACGGTGGCATAAAAAAAAAACAACCAACTAACAACATGCATCTCTGCCTTCTCACCCTTGGTGAGGGTCCAGAGCTATGGCCCGGGGCTCGCTCAGGTCAACGTTGATTAGGACACGTCTCTTGGTCCCATCCACTGAGGCCACAGAGATGGATTTATCTCCTGAGTCGGTCCAGTACAAGTTGTGTTGGAGCCAGTCCAGAGCCAAGCCCACAGGGGTCTGCAAGAATGAATCCACCAGAGGCACCTGCTGGGTGGGGTCGCTGACCTCATGGATGAAGGCACTGCAGAGGAAGAAAAGGGAGGCAAGAAGAATATAAGGAATTACAGATTAATTATAATGATGTCTGATACTGTATGTGTACACATTACATATAACTCTCCGTCTGCTGTCGTGATGTACAGTCAGTGAACAGAAGAGAATGAGGTCATTAGGGGATCCTTGAAGCCTAATCTGAGCACGTTCATCCAGAATAATCACTGTGAAAAAAATCACTGTAATGCCACTGATTATTGATATGTGCTGCCAATTATCCATGCTGCTGATCTCATGCTGCTGATTTATTTCATGTTGCTGTGCTCATTTGTGCTCATCTGCGCACACAGATTCATGTTTGTGCTGCTGCTGTTCGTTGTATTGTTTTTGTATTACTAGTGCTTATCATATTTTTAGTTTAGCGTTTTTCTTAGTTCATATCTTAGATCTTATTACTGTTTTTCTTTTATTTTTACAAACCAAAGTTTGTCTTAAACTTTGTTAAATAAATTATGATAATTTAAATTTAATTATTAAATTTAATTATTTTAATTAATTTAATTTAATCCAAATTAATTTAATTTATTTAATTTAATTACAAATAAATATATTTGTAGAAAATATATACATATATATTTAGCTTGTGACTGAATATGAAAAATAAGTGCTACATGCATTTTTTACTCCCTGGCTTTTGGCACAGACTGAATTAGCTGTTTTTAATGTTTGTATTGATCTTAATGTTTTAACAACTGTTTTATTTTTATATTTTTATATATTTAAACTTTCTTGATTTTATGAGTACAGCACTTTGTTGCAGCTATGGTTGTTTTAAATGTCTTTATAAATAAATAAATAATAATAATTATTATTATTTATTATTATTATTATTATTATTATGTTTAACAGGCTTTGCATGTTTGTATCTAAATAACACTCTGGCATATTTGACTGACGTATTAAACTGTTTTGTTAATGTTTCCACAAAATTACTCTCGCTGAAAGATCTCAATCTTGATGTACTAAGAAAATTAACTGTGTTGCAACAAATGCAAAGTTGTAGAAACAAGCAAATAAACAGAAATAACAAAATTTAATTGAAAAAAATATATTGTGTACATACTGTATTTCTGATATAGTTTGTAATGAATAGCACAGATTGAAGGACTGGGAGATACAGTTAGAGAGGCCAGACTGAGGAGGGACAGTGAGTATATTGTTAGAAATGCAGCTGCCAGTAAAAAGACAAAGAGGAGATCTATGGATGCAGTTAGAGAGGACATGGAGGTAGTTGGAGTGAGGACAGAGGATGCAGAGGACAGAGTGAGGTGGTCGCTGTTACAACCCCTAAAAAGGGAAAAACTGAAACAAGGTTTGTAGTAAACTTGAAAATTGAGTGAAGATCCACCTTCTGCTTTGTGAAAACTGATATTCTGCCCTAAACCTCTGTTCTTTGCTGCTTACCTGTAGATTTTGCGGTGAAATCGATCACACCAGAAAACACGGTTATTGGCCATATCAAAATCCAGAGCCACAGCGTTCTTCTGGGTAGACACAACCTGACTGTACTCCCTCTTCACCAAGTCAATGCGACGGATCTCATGTCGGTTTGTGAACAGTAAATTGGGGCTTTTTCCTGAGGGGAAAAAAAAAGCATTACTTTCAGTGGCCGTTGGTGCAGATACAGTCACATAATCAGTCAAAGTGTGGATTATTATATTCTGAAGCTAAATGTTTTTGTTCAAGCAACTCATGCAGTTTCAATGAATCCTATTTGCTCTCCTGATGGTTAATTGAATCAGCTCTGACAGTTTGGTAGAGAGCAGAATGAAAGACCCCACAATATCCTTAATTAGGAAATAACTCATCTCAAAGTTTTAACGCAAAACCCCACTTCTAAATGGCTGAACTATTTCTTTAGTCCTAATGCTTGTGAATGATTTAGACATTCTTTTGTACTAAAATCATTGGTTTCCACAAAGAGTAAAAAGAAATGCTGCAGCTTAACGAGGTTCAACTTTTCAGTTTATACCTGTTTATATTTTTTAAAGCCATGATTCAAAGATAAGTAGCAAAGCATGCACACTGTGTAGACAATCCTCCCCTGACAATGTAGAGACAATTATCCTTTACTAAAAAGATAAATAACTGAGTATTGATGAGCATGTTTATGCATCATTTAAAGCTCCTTGACATCTGCTCCTGGAAATATAGATCTGAGGTACCTTTAAATCTGGATACATATCTTTAAACAACTTTTACATAAGCAACAAACCTAAAGAGATTAAAAAAGCAACTAAAAGTCAGGAATTCTCACTAGAGATACAAAAAGACAACTTGAGTTAAATTCTTATAATGTCCTGGCCTGTCTTGCTATGTCAGTTACTAAGTTCTCTGACACAAAATGTATACAAGATGCAAAAGAATACCAAGTACTTTTACAAGTACTAACAATATGTTTTAAATGCTTCCAAATCAGATTTTCAATTCCCTACTTCCAGTTGATTTTATCAGTAAATAAATCATGACTATGACTTGTTACAACATAATTTATACATGTAGATGAACAGATGCTGAGATATATTCATCAATTAAAACGGATT